TGGTTTGGATGTAGTTGCCTTCTCTGAGCTGAATAGTTTAGTCGCGAAGCTCACACTGTCCTTCTAAACAATATCTTCAGCGCAGACTTCAATATGAAGTGAACTTATTTGAATTCTGAACGAGTGATGTGACTGTATCGCCTGACAACCTTTCATCTTGATTGGCTGTTAATCCACAGTTACTGTTGAGCCATTTTATTGCCATGGTGTTTGACTTTTTTTGTCATGTTAGTTGTTCTTTATTAGTTGATAACTTTTATCTCTGATAACGTATCTGTTTGGTTGTTGATTGACTTATCTGAGTACCAGGTTATTGGGAATACTGTGGCGTTTTTTATGTGTCCACTGTTTGAAATTTCTAAGTTTTCCTAGTCAAACTGTTGTCAGTAGTTGGCTACATGTATTGATATGAGTTATTGCATGTCGTGTCTTTTGACAGCCAACTTATGTTCATGAACTCGAAGTTGAAGGGAATGCCCGCTTTGACTAAAATAGTGCTTATAACAATTTATGCAATTTATCTGGTAGATGGTGTTGATCTTTTCGTCTTCTGCAGATGCAACGACTCAGCTGCGATTAACAGACACATTCTCATAGATCAAATTTATCAACTAATAAAGAGTAAGCCACTTGACAAAAGAAAGTCAATAAAAACGATCACTACTGGTGTAAATTAACAATCAATCACTACAGAGGTATTGAAGAGATACAGTTATTGAGATTGCAGATAGATCCATTTGATATTGAAGTTTACACCGAAAATATTGTCTAGATGAAAAATAAGAGCTTGGTGACCCAAACTACTTAGATCAGAAAAAGCAACCAAATCAAAAACTCATTCCCCCTTTATTGTCATTCAGCTGTGTTGTATGCCTGTAATGTACCAAATAGAGTTTAGTGATTTCGTCAAACCAGTGAGTGACACGAGACTTACTAATTCTCATGGTGATTCTGTTTGATTTACACAAAGCTGCCTATTGCAATAACACAAGCTTTATATTTGATTGGTTCATTGACTTGTAGTTACGGTTAACGAAGTGTTATAGCGTCACCTAATTAGTTGATCACGTGGAACTCTTTCAACCTGCCACGTGATATACCATCATCTTAAGAATTTTTCTGAGTGGATTAATCATACTATACATTATTCGCGATATGAATAGTCCGTGATATATATATATATATATATATATATATATTTGAATTTTCGAATGTGTATTAACTCCATTATGGATAAGAATTTATTTTGATAAATCATACAGTGTTGTACCTGATGACGTTTCGAGCACGAATTATTGCTCATAATCATATCAAGTCACTCATACAGCTTTTTTGCTTCATGTATTTACATATGTAAAATCGATTAGACATCTAAATAAAATCAATATAAGATAATAGAAGAGTCCAGAAATACACCATGTGAATTATCAAAACACTTAGTTCTAATACTATGTCCCATTAGAAATCATTCAAACTCCAGGCTAAGTAATTCATATGAAATGAAAAGGAAACCAAATAACATTTAATTAGAAAATAATGAAAAAATGGTTAGTTTTGACATAACTAGTCTTTACACTAATATACCAATCAATATGGCCTTAGAAACGGTGAAAAGAGAACTAACTTCTGTTCCCGAACTTAGTCATAGGACACAGCTGTCCATTGAGAAAATTATTTTAGGAATTCAGTTATGTTTCATATCTACTATCTTTAAATTCCAGGGAAAATACAATAAACAGACAGATGGTGTAGCAATGGGATCACCAATACCCCACATCGTAGCAGATATCTTTATCGACAACTAGGGAAGTATGGCTCCTAATACATTTAATCCTACTCCAAAATATGGTGGAGATATGTGGATGTCACCTTCACAATGTTACAAACAGAACATATCTCTAGCTTCTTGATACATATAAACTCACTTGTAAAGGGAATAAAATTCACATTTGAGTTGGAAAATAAACAAGGAGAATTAGTTATGTTATACGGTAAAATGAAACGAACAGAAAAAGGTAGACTGCACACTAGAGTTTATAAAAAGCCAACGCATTCTAACAGATATTTAGACTTTAATACATCTCATCCGTTATCTCTCTGTGAAGGCACGCTTAGTTAACTGTTTAACAAACCGAGCGATAGCACTAAGGAGCACAACAAAAACCCTAAGTGGTGAACTGAAACAGATAGAAGAGGAAGCGTTGGTGTTAAATAACTAACCATCTTATAAAATTCATTAGGAATATCAAAAAAGGTCAAAAGCAAAATCAAAATAATGGTGAAACTAGTAATGATAGCATAAATAAGAGAGAATATAAGTCATCTACAGTTATACCATCTAAGGAGGGGACATCTGAGGCCCTAAATAGGATTCTCAATAAAGCAGGAATTAGGGTGGCACTCAAACCTACAAACTCACTCAGAGACAAGCTCTGTAGGCTAAAGGACCCAGTAGAGACAAATAAACAAAATAATATAATTTACAAAATGCCTTGCAATGACTCTGAGTTAAGTCAACTACATAGGTCAGACTAGTAGATCGTGAGTAGTGAGATTGTCAGAACATAAGAAATTAGCTAAGGTTGGAATGATTGATCACACGAAGATAAGTAATTTAGAAAACAACTCAGCCATAGCACTACATACACTAATACACAACCACACAATAGGGTGGGACAGAGTCAAAATTCTAAAAAGTATTATAGGTAGGTGGAGAGAGAGATTGATTATTGAATCCTGGTTCATTGAGTCTACAGGCAGCACATGCAGCAGAAATGACTCAATGCAAATACCAGAGATATGGAAGATATTATTACCACCAGTCAAATCAGAGAATCATAAATAACGTTAAAATGTATTTAATTCACATTGTAATAATCTAACAAGTAACTTATTTTTACTGTAAAAAACATCTGACTTCCGATCTGATTTTATTTGATTGGTAACACTAATGTTATTTCTGAATGTACTTTATCTTACATTGATTTTATTCAGATGTCTAATCAATTTTACATATACAAAAATGAGGTAAAAAAGTTGTATGAGTGACTTGATATGGTTATGAGTATTAATTTGTGCTCGAAATGTCGTCAGGAAATATTACTGTACAACACTGTGTGATTTATCAAAATAAAATCTTATCTATAATGGAGTTATACTCTACCACAGTGCCCAAGTTTTATGCTTATATGAATAATACAGAAGGTGTATTAATTTTGTTGAGATTACAGCTACATTTTGGTGACCACTAGTGAAGTGTGTTTTGAAACTAGACGAATACAACTACTTAGGGATATCTGTGTGTCAAACAATTTCAGCTTGTATTCTTTTCGATAACTTCTTCACCAGGTTCTATAGTTACATGTCCATAATAATTAAAAAAAGTATTTTTTACAGGATTTCATCATGAGCTGACATCGTTTAGAGAACCACTGGAAAACCTGAGAGTATTGAACAACTGTGTCGTCTCAGCTTAGGACTCCTCACAGTTCTCACCCACCGGGTTTAGAATCCAGGATCTTCTGGTGACAAGGCGAGCTCGTAGACCATTCCATGTCTTGACTTCTTCTGTTACAGCAAGTCAGGATAGGAATATTGGATACATCTGTTCCCCTTTGAACACAGATCTCCGGTTGTCTTAAGCTGATTTAAATGGTCTCTCTTGTGTTGGAGTGATCTGAACTTGGAGGCTTTTGGTTATTTATTCAGTAATCGGTAGATGATAAAAAAAACTCTTCAATACCATCTTTCGAGCCTGTTTGAACGACGTGATCTAATATGCGACCATTGATGGTTTTATTTACGCCACTATATAACTTCACTCGTAGGTGATGTGATGCCCAGCTGCAACTGATATTTTCCACGTGAATATTTGTTATTCCGAAACTGAAAAACAAAGTGCCTAGACTAGCTACCTCTTATAAATCATAGACGAGAATGATGTTAAATTATCAATCTTCACAATTCTGTGATAACTCTGATGACATTCCCACTAACCAACACAACGAAATTTGTTGTCACTGAAGCAGAATGAATATATCCCTTCTGTAAAGTTAATTATCTAAAAGACACAAAGAAGAATGTGTTAGTTGAACTCCCGGGTGAAGGAGAAGTTTATCGAAGGTAGTACACAAAAGTATCGTGAAGTTTTGTTACTTTAGACTATTCTACTGTGAAATCACCGGTCACCGACAGTATGAAAGAACTAGTGAGGGAAAGTAATTCGAATGTGAGTTATAAACTCAACTGTGTCTGAAAAAGAATATATATATATATATATCGAAAGACTGGAAAGAGTATTTTGAAATAATTCCTGCGGAACTGAAGATAATGCTACTGGTGGCATTAGTTTTACACACAGGTAGTAGGATACACTTTGCTGCAGAGTTACATGCATATAAAGTAGTAATTTACAAAGTTTAACTTGATTTGTGCTTGCGAAAATACGGTGAACTTTGCGTTATTTTACTTATCTGTGATTTTATTCAGTATCATTTTCAACCATATGGTTCTTTGGTCTTCGCCTCTTGAAACAGTTATCGACTTTCCGTAGCTCAGCTTTTTCTGCAAGTTATAAATAAGTAATATCCAACTGCCCTGAAAGAAAAAATCACTGTCTTATGCTTCTTAAATTGCATTAACAGTCTGTGACGAATTTTATCTTGACATGTCCCTCAGGTTTTCCATCTTTTAATTAACTTCTCACGTCAGGTTTTAGACAGTGAGATATAAAATCGAATTTTTTTAAACATTCTGTACTCTGATCACACATCTCCAGGAGATTTTTTATGACAAATTATTATTTGTGGTAAAGTTTACCGGATGGACTGTCATGTTGATATACACTGTGTGTTTCTTTTATTGTTTTATTCGACTAGATAAGGAATTCAAAGCAAAATTTACAACAATAGTCTGTTCAATAGTATTTAAGCTGTTTACTAAATATCTATTGTTTCATCATTTTAAATCATCAACGTTGAATTGAGTCCAGTATGTAACCATATTTATCATGGTCTTGAATATTTATCATAATTGCGTATTATTCTCAGAGGTTCTAAGTGCATCATAGGGCTTCGGCAGCACATCTCTATTTCATCCTGTTCACCGTAGTCCTATTTAGCTGACTCTATGATTGCCCATAAGCTTTCATCTTCTCCTCCTACGATCTCCTCCATGTCACCCTTGGATGCCCGATTCCTCGTCTCCCATTTAGGTTCCACTCAAAAACCCAACACTCCCCTTCACTTCTGAAAATATTTATTCTTTTAGATATCTCTTGCTTTTGAAAAAAATACTGAAGTATTTCTGGTTGTATTGGCTTCTGTGAGTTGAATGTTTCCACCATTCAGCTTCCCACTATCACTATCACGTTGATTTGGTGAAGAGATTCCGTAAGTCTCGACTAGTCTTGCATGTAACCGCTTGGTTTTGTTGTTCTATTGTTGTCGATGAAAATCCCATCATAATGAATAGTGTGTCCAGTTTTATCCTCCTTGCATGCATGAGCATCAATAACAGTTTACTTGTTTATCATAAAGTAACTTCACTCATTACAGCACATCCGCCTGTATATCTGAATCAATTATATTACATAACCAGGTTTGATTTGATACCACTAGGATATGAGCAATAACAGAGCATATCTGGTGAAATACGTTACATTTATGTACTATAGTCGAAGGTTCACAGGTATAACACCCACAAACCACTTACATGGTCCAGGATTAGACTCCCGATTACCGCACTCCTAAGCTTCGTTTAGTCGACAGTAAGACAGGTAAAGAGGGAAGGTTAGGCGTGAAAAACAAACACCACTGGTACTGAAACTTCACAGCTTAAGCTTGAAAACTTCTCAGACATGACTAACAAGCAACATTGATTGCTACAGACTAGCAAGAACTCTGAGGCCTCTCAAATACACACCTCAAAGAAAAGTTCACAATTTAATGCTAAAATATCTTAAAAAGTACATTATTTTATTGATATTGCGTGAACGTAGCAATGAACTATGACACCAATGTAAGCGTTGGGATTAGGAATAACTTGTCACCCCACTGGAAATCTGTGGGCATAAGATACGGGGAAAAGCCAATCTTGGATTGATGGGATAAAAAAAAGTATGAGAGGAGCCACAGTCAGCCAACAGTGAATAGATAAGTCAATACTTATGCAACTGATGCCAGCCAATGAACAGCAACAAACCAGCAGTAATCAAGACATACATAAATACAGAGGCTATCAGTAATAAAAACAACAATAATAATAACAGCTTTATGCTGAACAGCGTTTATATAAAATAAAGGATTTTCAGAAGAGTTTATTGTATGACATTTTCTCTCTTCCACCAGGATCTTCAGGTAAAATATTATTCGACAGCAGATCCTATGAAACGATGCCACTTGACCTGAAGTGCAGACTAATCCATTATGTCATTTCATACCTCAGATATCTCATGTATTGGGATAAACTGACATCGACGATATTGCTTTCTCCCATGTTCAGTAGAAACTTGCGGATGAGCAGGTTGCATATGTTTTAAATACTCTCCAGAAAAAATGGTACTACTAGAGGACATATATTTCACTCGATTTAGACAAACTGAATAAAAGAAATTATATGCAGCGTACTGATGCAGCTTCTCAGTAGCCGAAGTTTTAAGCAGGCCTCCGCTTTGTTGTTTTTCTTTGACTTTCAACATTAGTATAATCCCCCCCTCCAACCAAGCCAACTGTAGATTATCTATAATTCCTTCTTGAAGCTAGTGCTTAAAGTGGTTATCTACAGTGATAGAGGAAATAAAATCTGCAGTTTTTATTTTTCTCTATAATGAATCACGGTCTTTTTTTTAAAAAATAGAATGAGTATTTTAAACTGTGGTTTAGAAAGTTATACATATTGATCTAGGAGGCGAAGCATTTTTACTAATTCCTCGTTATAAATAACGTACTGTAAGCCGTTATTCACAGCAGACTGGTCGATTAATAGTCAATTAAATTTTCTTTTTTTTCTATAGTTTGGTTTGTAAGGGTTAGTTATGCTTTTTTGCGAGTTGATCACGGATTGATATCAGTTAGAGAACAATTGAAAACCATCACGGAGTACTGGACAGCTGCTGTTTCATCCTAGTTTGGGAATCATCGGGAGTACGCACCCACTGGGATTCGAACCCAGGACCTTCCGATTACAAGGCAAGCTCGAATCTCACTGGGTGCGTACTGCCGATGATTCCCAAAACTAGGATGAAATAGCAGCTGTCCAGTGCTCCCGTGGTGGTTTTCAATGGTTCTCTAACTGATATCAATTAAAATTTCGCTTTCAGTGTTACTGTTACAGTCACTTTAATTTATATCTTTAGCCTGAAAAGAAGGAAACCTGAGAAATGACTCCAGCCTATCCAACCAAGGATACAACACTGAATAATAAACTTGGTGGAATTATTTACAAATCCTTAAAAAATATTCACCATCAATTTGAATATGAATCATTAGAAAATGAACAGCTGCATATAAAATCAAAGTATGGCTTACTATTGGATAAACATTATCTACCAAAGGGTGATAATCCCTTCATCAATTTAACAAAAGCTTGGTGTACAGTAGCTGGTTGTACTGCTGCTTATACTTATAAAACTATTGGTCAAGATTTCAGTGAACCAATGAAAATTTGGTTGGCTAATGCTGCCAATTGTACTATCCTGTTTAGTCTTTTAGCTGAGTTCACTGATGTTCAACAGTCAACACATCAACAAAACAAGAAAATCCTACCTTCGTCTGCCTTATCGTCATCTTCGTTACCTGATGGGAATTGGTCTTATGGTTCATGGTCACTAGACAATCTTTTGAGTGTTAATGAAATGAAGGCTATTATTAAACCTGAGATGTCAGATATCTGTGTTGCAGTAATGATAGCTGGTGTTATTAACTATTACCAGGAAGGTTGTCTACTGCCGAAAACACTGACTAAATACGCTGATGATTTGATCAAGTCAACAGAAATGGATCAGTATGGAATTACACACATACGGGATAAACTACAAATTATGGCGATCACAAGTAGTTGGATATCAAAAATTAATATTTTCAATGAAATGCAAAAAATCGATGCTAACAGAAAATCAAATCTGAGAAATATTAAGACTTTAGGATTAACAAGCATTACACTGACTTCTGATATGATAGAATCTCTTCGAACAGCTCCAGCCGGTTGGAAGTGTACATCAATCGCTTTCAATATAGCCAGTAAATTAGTCCAGTCATCAGAATGTTTTTATTTTATGGCTGGGTTAAATGAATTAGTAGAGTTGGTTAAATTATGGCAAAAGCTGAAACAAAATCCAATCCTATATCATATTGCTGGTAAAGTTCTTACAAACACTCAAGAAAACATATTTGTGGATAATGGAAGAAATCTTCTAGGTAGATTGATCACCTATTTAAAGTATACAGAACCACAGAGTGAATTATTTACATCGAAGTACTTAAAATCGAATGATCAAACTCTTGAGAGGATCTATGCTGATTATTCTGAAAACTGGGAAAATATTGTAAAAGCATTTCATCATTGTACAGATAAAATAATAAAACACAGTAGTAATCTTACACAGCAACTGAAGGCTTTACATCTTATTCCGGAGACTTTCAAACTGAATGAAAATGCTATACGTATGTGTCGTGAAATGTTTCGAGATAATGCTTAAAAACGCGGGAATTGTTGTATGTATTTGCATAAACATAAATCATTATTAGCAAATAAATTATTTTATATTGTTAATTTTGAGTAGATTGTTATATTTGCAGTGGTGGATTAAAAAATGAGATTATTTAATGGCAGGTTTATGTAAGGCGTGATTTATTGACTTGTATGCAGGAGAAAGTGGAGATGGATCGGACACTCGTTGAGGAGACCGCTGGGTGACATCGCGCGTCAAGCCCTCGAGTGGAACCCGAAAAGGGAAGCGGCGAGTGGGACGTCATTGCAATGGTGACATGGAGGAGATCGTGTGAAGATGAGTTGAAAGAGTATGGACTAACATGGATGCAGGTGAAAAGTAGAGTAGAAGACAGAAGCAAGTGGAGACGTGCAGTTGAAGCCCTATGTTCCACTAGGAGCCCAAGGGAGCAATAATAATAATGTATCTAGGGGTTAGAATGTCATAGAAAAGGTGCCTTGTCTAATAATGAATGACAGGAGGTTGTGCAGTGTATTCGAAATTGTGTACGTGCTCATTGAAAGTTATAAGAATAATGCAGTCATGTAACAATAGATATAAGTTTGTGTTAATATCAGAAACAACACATTGAGTGGAACTGATAAATGCATATCCTGTTCATTAATTATTATTATATCCTTTAATTCCTAGAGGAACATAGGGCTTCAGCTGCGCATCTCTATTGCCTTCGGTTTTCTGCCAACCTTTTCACCCCGCTCAAGTCTCCCCACATGCTCTCATCTCCTCTTCACATGACCTCCTCCAAGTCACCCTCACACTGACGACAAACTCGCCGATTCCCTTTCGGCCTGGTTCCACTCGAGCAATGGCTTATCTAGTGATGTCACTTGATGGTTTCCTCAGTGTATGGCCAGCCAATCCATCTCCATTTCTTCCTTCCTATTTGTTTCACAATCGGTTCCTGCTGAGTTGGTTCGCTCATTGACAGAGATCCCTGTTGGTGATCTTTTCTGGCCGGCCATCTGATCTTGAGTAGTATTGAGCGAAGACAACTGTTAATGAAGGTCTGAAGTTTGTTTGAGATGCTGTGTATGACGCGCTGGCCAAGTCTCTGATCCGTACGTTGAGTAGCACTGACTGACTTCACATTGGAGTTGAAAAACCGGATCTTATTTCTGATGCTGATTAGTGCTGTTGAACTCCACACAGACTTGAGAGTGATGAAAACTTGTCTTGCTTTTCCGATTCTGGCTTTGATATCCCCGTCAGTTCCGTTGACCTGTAGTTGAAACGATGCTTCCCAGGTAGGTGGGTAGGTAGGTGATGGAGGTTGTTTCTTTCAGGTTCCTCCCATTTATGCTGGCTGATTGTTGTCTGTTGTTGTTGTTCCTGTTGGTGTTGGCCAAGAATCTTCATCACCTACCTCTGTTTTATCTATGTTCATCTGAACTCCTTCCTATCTTTGATGCTTCTTCTATCGCCAGCTTGTTGCTTCTCACTTGCATATCTTCCAAGTTGTGGGAAATAAGACATATATCTGTCATCGGTGAAGTCCAGATCCTCCAAGTTGATTTTGTGTGAGTCCATTTTATGCCTGTTTCCTCATTTCCCGTTGTCTGTCTCATTATCCAGTCTACTGCAATCAGGAAAATCATTGGCGATAGTAGACAGCCAGCCTTGCCTCACTCCCGTCCTCACTTTGAAGGCTTTCGTAAGTTTCCCGTTGTAGATTACTTGTCATGCAGCATTGTCGTACAACTGTTGGATGAGATGCATAATATTCGGTGGCACCCCATGGTAGCGAAGTAGTTGCCAAATCACCTCTCGATCGACGCTGAGCTGTCGAAGGCCTTTTCAAAGTCGATGAAGTTGAGATAGAGAGGTGACTGACTGCCATTCCAAGCTTTGTTTAATGATGATCCGTAGTGTGGCGATTTGATCAATACATGACTTGTTTCTCCTGAATCCAGCTTGTTCCGGTCGAAGTTTTGCATTCAGGCTGGCGTGTTTGATTCTCTCCAGGATGATGAGGCTTAGCATTTTACTTGGGATGGACAGGAGCATAATTCCGCGACAGCTTTTGCATTGACTTAAGTCTCCTTTCTTTGGTAGTTTGAATAAGTATCCTTTCTTCCAATCCTCAGGTACTTTGCCCTCCATCCACACCTTCTACAGCAATGGCGTCATCAAGTCCGCTGTTGTCTCTGGGTCCGTTTTCAATGCTTCTGCTGGAATCCCATCTGGTCCTGCTGCTTTTCCAGCTTTTAGCATCTTGATTGCATTCAGGACTTCTTATTTCCTCGGAGGGTCGATGTTAGCTGGTAGTTCTGCTTCCGTTGTAGGTATTGTTGGGCGCACAGTAGTTGACGAACGATTTAGAAGTCTTCTGAAGTGTTCAGCCCAGTGTTTTCTTTGCTCCACCTCTTTAGTGATTGACTTTCCATTGTCATCCTTTACTGGCTTAATCTGTGTCGAACTTTTGCCCGATAGGTGCCTAGTTGTTTGGTACTGTTTTGTTCAGTGTATTGTAGCTTGCATTCAACTCCTGTTTTTGTTGCCCGTTGGTGCACTGGATAATCTTCTGTCTCACCATCCTTCTCTCTTCTATTAGTTTCCAAGTATCCACAGTGAGCCACTGTTTGTCCTGCATCTTCTTTCTGCCTAGAGCTTCCATGCAGCTTTGACTCCACACCGTTTTCAAGTTGTCCCAGTGCTTTTCGACGCCGACCTCTTCGCTAGTGTTGATTTGTGTCTCGGCTTTGTCCCGTATGCTTGCAATGAAGATGTCCTTTGTATCTTAGTCCTTCAGTTTTTGAGTGTTGAACTTGGCTTGTGGTCTATCTGCAGCTCCTGTTTCCCTGAAAGCTTTTAATTTGATTTGGATTGTCCCTTTTACAAGATAGTGGTGTGAGCCAACATCTGCTTTTCTTCTTACTTTTGTGTCCAGTAGGCTGCGCCTCCACTTCCTTTAGATTGAGATAAATAATATTAATGTACTTTATTCCAAAACAATACTCATAACAGAGAATGGAATTCTCAGCATTTCTCACAATACTGCATCTGATTTACTCAAAATATAAATAAAATTAACCACAGGACTATGTCCACATTTACGGTATAAAGTCAAATATATTCGAAGTAAAAAATGAGAATAAGAATAATAAATATAATAATGATAACATTGAGTTTGTTTCAAACAGTATTGTCGATTTAGTTTGGAAATTTTAGCATGTGACAGATTACTGAATCTACTCTTCTGTTGATATAGTATGGTGAGGGGAAAGGCTAAATTAATAGTTACAACACAGCTTAAATGATGTTAACACTTTTGAGAAAATAAACAAATAAAAAACAAACATTGCGAGGATTATGAATATAAGAAGAACAATAACAATAAAGCTTGGTGGAATAAGGATGGAGAAGATGGTTTATTTACTAGTGCAAAGCAGGTTAGCTAGTGAGTTAGTTCATGCCTGACACTATTTTCATCACATAAAATACGTGACAACTATGGTACAGTAGAATTTCTATACTTAGACGTACGTGCATAAAGTCTTTTGATGAAAATGACTTCTTGTTTTACCTGAGGAGACACAAGGTTGGAGCTGCGGGTAGAGCTGGTGCTCACAGTTTGACAAAATTCCTTTGTCAAATTTGTCGCATGACATCAAGTGCTTATCAGTGACAATGTCAACGATATGGCCCAATGGGATACCACTCACCCTACTGACAGTCTTCACACTTCTACGAAGCATGACATAGTCCTTTTTAAACAATCCAGGAAAAAATAGGCGTGAACAGTAAAGAAGAATAGGTAAGATGCACGAGTTGGCAAACTGTAAGAGGACGAGTTCAGTAATCCGTGAGTGCCTTAACTTCTTAAGATAAAAATTCAGACGAAATATTCTTTTGGAAATCGCTAATACATAGGAAGACCAGGATAGATCAGAAGAAAGAATCAATCCAAGAATTCAGAATTGGTTTCTATATCACTATCATCGATTTCGCAACGGTCATAGGAATTAACTTTCTTTTACATCGAAAAATGAAAGTAACAGTCTGACATTTGGAACGATTTAGTTTAAGGCCATTAGACGAAGACCATTAGCTGACTTCTGATAGAAAGATGTTCATCTTAATACAGTCAAGCTGGGTGTTAACAGACATTGAAATAGTTAGATCATCAGCATATTTAACAAAGTTCATGCAATAAGAAATAAAACAGAAAAGGAGAAAGGATAGCGCCTTGACGGACACCAGCCTCAGTAAGCAACGAAGTGGATGGCTTTACCTGACATACAGTGTACTGTTTTCTTCCTGAGAAGTAAGAATGCAGCCATTTGACAACTCAACAGTCAGTTTGAGTTTCACCAACCCTGTTTGACAAAATATCCTTAGGAACTAAGTGAAGAGCGAATGTGTAATCTAGCAAGGTGCAACGAATAAATTTAGCCTTCTTGTCTAAACTGGAGACAATGTTGTGATGCAAGCTGCAGCTACATCGAAAATACATTTACTATATTTATAGAGAAATTGTTTGGATTAGTTAAAGGCTTTAAGTGAAGGTTCAAGATTAAGTAAGCGTAATTTTTCGATAGCTTTCAGAAAAGGAGAGACAATAGCAATAGATCAAAATTTAAAGCATGATGGAAGCAGTCGGCAGGAAGCCTCTGACTCAAGGTTTCATGCTTCATGTAAGTGGTTATTAAATCGTATCTACGGTCTTCTTGGAGTCGAACCCGGGTCAACCAGTATCGCAATCAGAGACGTTACCACCTAGTATGGTAGTCACATTGGAAAGTTTATTGACAGAATTCAGTCTGGACCGGGAGAAGGAATAAATGCCTGGCATTAGTTACTACCTAGTGTCCAAGGTAATCGATAAAAATATACTATTGGTTGGGATTAGAGCTAAAATAATACTGAAAACAACGCAGTTAGTTTTTTATTATTGACTGTGCTATACATTAAGTGATAGACTATGTTAATGAATGATCAGAGACGTAACGCCGACTGATTTATAACAACCGGACAAAATTCTTACTGAATAAAAAAATTAAAACCTTAACTTCATTATCAATTAATAAATGAAC